CACGTGTGTTGAAAGAGGCAATGCGAGGTGAAACCTTTTATAAAGAACCCTTCAAAATGTGAAGAGTTGCCAACTAATTGATCTCCATAGTCACGTTTGCATTCTCAACCGCTCAATTTTTGTTAAAGCAGAGGCATGCCTCCGTTCAGGATTTTAATGACAAAACAATAGCATATTGAAAAGAAGAACTGAAAAAACCCAAACCAAACCACTGCCGTCAAGTTGATTCCGACTCACAGCAACTCTACAGGACAGAGTAGAACTGCCCCATAGAGTTTCCAAGGCTGTAAATCTTTATAGAAGCAGACTGCCACATCTTTCTCCTGCGGAGTGGCTGGCGGGTTCGAACCACTGACCTGTCAGTTAGCAGCCGGGCACTTTAACCACTGCGCCACCAGGGCTCCTTGAAGCATTGAATAGTGGCAATTATTTTTGAAGGAATCTGAGGCATACCCTCCTCCCTGATTATTGCTTTGATAAAGGTGTATGAAGTTACACCATTTATTAGTGGTTCTCAATGTTGGCTGCATGTTGGAATCATCGGAGGGGCTTAAAAAAATACTGATGCCTGGGTCCCACTCCCAAGGGCTCTGTGTAATTGGTATGGGGTGTGGCCTGGGCATCAGGAGTTTTTCAGGTTCCCCTGGTGATTCTAATGTGCAGCCAGGGCTGTAAACCACTGACCAAGAATGTGTGGAAGCCCCTGGAGAGAGGAGTGGGAGATTCATTTCTTGCGTCTTACGGGGAGACCTCTTAGATTAGAGATGGAAGGTCCTCATAGTAAGTGATCCAGGACTGCTTTTAAATCTGAACGCAGAACACACTCACACATTCATATGCACACAGGTATGTACATACAGATATACATATTATTTATATGTGAATATACACATGGAGTCCCTAGGTGGTACAAATTGTTAATGTGCCTGGCTGCTTACTGAAAGGTTGGTGGTTTGAATCCACCTACAGGCACCTTGGAAGAAAGGTCTGGTGATCTCCTTACAAAAAAATCCACCTGAAAACCCTGTGGAGCACAGTTCTACTCTAACACACACGGGGTCACCATGAGTTAGAATAGACTCTAATATATACACGTGCACACACCCACACAGGTAGTGCCCGACTGTTCCAACAACTCCGTCATAAGTTGGTTCTGACTTAAGTCGAATACCTTTTTTTTTCGCTTTTCATTATTATTGCCTTTTATTATCAGTATCTTTATAAATCTGAGCTTTATTTGTCTTTGTGGGTTGGAAGCGTTACATATAAATTTACAGATACATTTTAATACATAAAAAAAACAAACCAGACTCGTTGCCGTCGAGTCGATTCTGACTCATACACACATACATTAAAAACATGAAAATCATAAAAATTTACAATTTGACGATGAAGAAGAGTTGGACAATGTTGGCATTTTGTCAGTTGCAGTAATAACTCCACTTGTGGAAGATTCTGGATCATCTGGATTATTCCTGGGGGAATGGGGATGGCGTCTCTAGTCAGAAGATTAGTGAGAGTTACCCGTGTGGTCTTTTTCTTTTATTCTTCAAATATTTCACGGTAACATCTCACGACTTCCCAAATACGCGTAACGACTTTAGCAGAGTGATCAACATTTGGGTCCATATTTTCAATCAACCAAAGTCCCTGATTTAGTTTAGAAAAAACGCCAGCTAATCCTTTCACTGTAAAAATTTTTAACAACTTCTGTCCTTCCTCTTCCTTATTGTTTCTTTCTTCAGTTTTTCTTTCCTCTTCAAAATTTATTAGGCCCCGATCTGTCAGTTCCCCTTCTTTGTGATCTCTCAGCTGTTCCATATCGGCGATACCAAGTTCTAATGCAGTGTTCTTGCCATATGGACGATTTTCCCACCAATCTCTTTCATATTATCCTGATCAAATGCTTGGAGTGTGTTCACATAACTCAGCAATTTTTTGCATATCCCTGGCATGCATTTTCCTCTAACTTCCCCTCAGGAAGATGCAGTGTTCCAGATACACTGACGGTCCTAAGTGCGGTTTGTCATAACTCGAATGCGTTGTCAGTCGGGGACTGCCTATATACACATGTTGTTGTTAGATGCCTTTGAGTCGATTTTTGACTCACAGTGACCCCATGTGACAGAGTAGAACTGCCCCATAGGGTTTTCTAGGCTGTCATCTTTACAGGAGCAGATGGCCAGGTCTTTCTTTGCAGAGCCACTGGATGGGTTCGAACCACCAATCTTTCGGTTAGCAGCCAAGTGCTTAACCATTGCGTCGCCAGGGCTTCTCACATTTATTTTAGCTAATTGTTTTTCACTTCTTTATAAAGATATTTTTCCTGATTAGTGGGCGGTAAGCTGAGAAGAATGGGTTGGGGCCAGGTTTTCAACACCAGACCAGATTAGCTGGATCATGTTTTGTAGGTGTTGGGGCATCGCTAGAGACCTTTAAGCGGGTGTGCTGCATCAGGTCTGCATCTAGGAGAATAATGCTGGTAGCAGGGTTCAAATTCCTTCTGAGTAGAGACAACTC